GAATCAAGTGGCATCTGTGAGAGTAGGACTGGAATCTACATCATTTTTCTCAATCGAAAAAGGTGTACGACAGGTTTGTGTTCTGTCACCCCTCCTTTTTAATCTTAACTCTGAAACGATTTTCGCTAGAGCCTTAAGTGACACTGAAGATGGAATCAAAATCAACGGACAGACTATTAGTAATCTTCGCTATGCTGATGATACAGTTATAATAGCTGATAGGCAAAGAAGCCCTACAACACTAATAGATAGAATAAATACTGAAGGAGAGCGACTAGACTTAAAGATTTATATAGACAAGACGAAGGTAATGGTCGGTTAGTAGAACACGAAATATGCAATTAAACATAAGAGTAAACGATAAGAACCTCCAAAAGGTTCCCAAGTTCAGATATCTCGGTAGTTGGACAACTGAAGATCTAGATCCAGACATAGAGATACGTAGCAGGATTGAGCAAGCCAAAACAGCATTTATTTTTGCCAAGCAACAGCAGCCTTAACTTAACGCCTGGACCATAAAAAACAATGTGATTGGAGGCCTTTGAAATGTGGGTATTTAGAAGACTACTTAAATTGTCCTGGACAGATCACACCACAAATGTCGAAGTATTAAATCAAATGGACAGAGAATGAAAATTGCTGCCAATAATAAAAAGAAGAAAAACTGCTTATCTGGGTCATATATTTCTAAATTCCAAGTACCTAGTTCTTAAAGCTTATTATGGAAGGGAAGATAGAAGGAAAACGGGGGCATCGGAAGAAAGAAATACTCATGGCTTAAAAACATAAGGGCTTGGACAAACCTCGATGCTCATGCACTCTTTAGAGCCACAGAAGATTGAGAGGTGTATGCCAGAATTGTCTCCAGCATCCACTAATTATGATAGGACGCCATAAAAATAAGAAAATAGTAATAGTAAACAAAATCAAGAGAAAAGTGTGAAAAAAAAGAGTATATGTGCCTCTGTATTTCCCGACTTTCAGCTTGGGTTTTGATCGAATCTTGGCACAAACGGTTTACTTTATAAATAAAAATCTTTACTGCCTAGCGATATGTACCGTATTCTTTAAGTCCTATATTAATAAACGTTCGTTCCAAGTAAAAATAATTCATGATTTCTTCAACTTATTACTCAATCCAATCCGAAATTCTCTTAGTAAAGTGTCCTCCGTCCCTTCCTGTATCTAAAAATTTATTTCTGAGATACCTATTAAAGATACCTGTAAGCATCACAGTGGCAACTTTCGGGATGAAAAACTGTTTTAGTTTTAAACAAAGACCTAGACATATATTAGAGAATTGGTCGACAAAATGAAAAATTAAAGATCATAACGAAAAATCAGGTCCAATGCAAATTTACAACAAAAAGACGCACTTTTCCACAAGTTAGTCAAAACAAAGGCCCCCATTTCTGCTACAGACGTTGTGAAATATCTTGGTTGCATTTGGACCGAAAGCTCACCTGGAAGCAACACATTGACGCAAAAAAACTCAAAAACGTCAATTTAAAATGAAAACAAATGAATTGGTTACTTGGCAAAAAGTCACAACTGTCAATATGGACTTATGCCTTCAAACACAAAAATTTTTTGCAGACCTTTCAATCAAAAACATTGCGTATAATAGCTAACGCCCCTTGGTATGTGAGTAATGCAACCATCTACAGAGACCTGGGCTATAAACGTAAAAGATATTATATCATTTTACGTCAACAAGGCCAAAATTCTTAATTTATTGCACCACAGCCAAATTATCAGTGAATTATATCAGCCGCTAATGGAGGAACGAAGCTGGAGAGCAACTTGGCCAGAAGAACCTCTTTTTTCTTCTCCTAGTTCCATGACCATTATCGATCGTTGGATATCATGTTTGCTACCATATTCATGTACAAGAACAAATTAATATTCAATATAAATAAATAAAAAAATTAGAGATAGAAAACATGAATTAACCAATAATCTTGCTTCAAAAAATAATTTAAGTCATCTTGTGTAGTATAAAAAAATAAAATAAAATAAAAAAAAAATCGGTTCAATAATAATATGAACTACCAGTCACTTTTAAAAAGAGTTGCGAACAATTCCAAAATGCTGCTGGTAAGAATAGCCTTATGAGCTTTTTGCTGAGCTGACCACACCTACAAATAGCTTAGTATGTTTAGTAGGATAAATGCCTCTGAAATTAAGAAGACAATATCTTAGACTAGCATATGCTGCGAACGTTTCTACAAAATAGTGAAAATAACGTCAGAAACAATGTTTTTCCTTAATGCTGTGTTAACTTAATGCTTCCTCTATGATTAAACAATTTTACAGTAGATTGATCAGTACCAGAACTACCAACATATTTATACTGATGCCTCCAAATCAGAAAAAAGGAGTGGGATGTGCCCTCATAAACATAAGACTACACTGCTTCAATACAAAATCTCAAATTTTAGCACAGTATATACAGAAGAACTATTCGCAATCTACAAAGCATTAGAATATGCACTGAACGCCACTTAGACTAGGTGCCTAATAATGACAGATTTCCTTAAGTTCCATTAGTAGCTTAGGCATCATTTACCCAACTCACCTATTGTTGCGATTAACAAAGAACCATTTGTACCAACTTCAGCAAAAGAATGCGATTGTAAAATTTATGTGGATTCCGTCACATATAGGTATACATGGTAATGAAAGAGTAGATGCTGCCGCCAAATATTCAGTTAACAACTAAGACTTGACAGAACCTACCTATAAGAAAGATTTTCATCACTGGATTAACTTTACATTGAAAGAACGGTGTCTTTAAGAATGGAATCAATCTCAATAAAAACTACAAGACATAAAAACAACAGTTACAAGATAACAGGAAAGACCAAACTATAATAAACGGACTGAAATTAGGACATATACGCTTAACACATGAATACCATATTAGCGGAAGTGTTCATCTAATGTGCGGTGTAAGTGTTTGTAGGGTGGAGTGAAAACTGGCTCGAAAAAAATATCCCTAAATTAATTGACCTATATGTGGAAAAGTTGCCTATATAATGGTCTATTTTAGAAAAAAAAGTGACCTAAAATATTGCCATCTTCTACTGCCATTTAACCGTGAAATTTAAAAAAATAAAGATAAATATTTTTAATGCCGTGATGCAGCTCTTCGCTTATTTCCATAAAAAATTCGTAATTTTTGATGGAAATAACCCAGAACTCACCGCGTGGAGGTAGCTGCATATTGAGTTCCACCGCCCTCGCACCCTTATTTGTACTTTTGTAATTAATTTTCATTAAAAACTTGAAGATATTGATTTTTGTCTCGAATACTGACAAACTAGCTCTAGAGGCAATTCGTGCCCTTATAAATCCATCCCTTGCTGTATTTCCACATACAGCAACTGACGCTTCTGTTACTAATTTGATGCACCTTTCCACTGCTTGCTTGTGGCATGGATATTTTAGAATTTCAATTTCAGCTGGAAACTCTAAAATCATTTCTTCTAGTTCTTTATTGGAAATACATTTTGTCAGGGGAGGTTCTGTTATTTTTGTCGACTGCCAGTCAATCATATCGATGTAGTCTTCAGCATAAAAATTTAAAGATGGCAATTTGAATTTCCGAATTTCTTGTTGATTTGCTGTTTTCCTCACTTCAATAATCTTCTAAGGCCTAATTCTCTCACTGTTTTGCGACTATCAGCCAACATAGCCAATAATACATTTTCAGGATGATCGAAATAGCCATTTCTTTGAATTACTGGGTCTATGATTTTTCTCAAATCTTCTGGTAAACATCTTGATTTTTCAATCATACCAAATAGATGCTTGCTCCCGTGTCGACATGATGGTTGCATTTTGATTGCAAACCATGTGATGGCATATACTTTCATGACATATTCTGTTAGAATAGTTAGATTTTGTGATGGTTTCGCTATGGAGACATATAATCGTAAAATCCGGTTTGCGGTCGTAAGCCATCTGGAACGAGCCATTTTCCCGGGGTTCCTTTTCGACAAGTTCAAAGAGATGTTACCTTTTAAAATGGCATTACAAATTTCATATAGGTATTGTTGGTCGGTGATAAGTTGATCAGCACTAATTTCAGGCAAAGTAATTTCTATACTTTTACATCAGTAATAATTATTCATAAGATCAAAGAATATAGACGCTTATATAAGCGTCTATATTCTTTGATAACATATTAGTGACAATAATAAGATATTATATTATATATATATATATATATATATATATATATATATATATATATATATATATATATATATAGACAAGAAATACAAGTAGTACTGGATAGTACTGGATACACTATGGATAGTACTACACATAGTACTGGATATTAGTGACTGTCGATATAAACGTTTATTAGGGTTGCAGTCAGAATATTGGCCGGGATGTTAAAAAAACACTCTTTTGACTTTTTGTCGAGCTTTCGGAATGGTTTTATTCCTTTTTCGAGACATAGTCGTTGAGATTATTTATATAAGCATGGACACTCAACATTTATAACACAAATTAAAATATACAATTATGGACAAAATACATTATAAAATTTTTAAAATTTATTGTAAAAATAGTAAAACTTAGTTGATGGCATGTTTTACTGGCTAACATGTAAACAAGTTTTCTAAAAACCAATAAAAATATACTACTAAAAATAAACCTCAGTGCGTGTACAAATAAATGTGTAATAGTCAATGCTTCTATTAATCAATATACTTAGTTTAACTCAGATTTAGGTATGTAAAAATCTATGTACGTCAAAATCAGTATATACTAAGTATCCAAAAATGTAAAAAAAATTGTAATACCGAGTGGCGGTAATAACCACATAGGTTGATGCGCCTTAATTGTAAATAAAAGAAAATAAAAAGAATTAAAACTTTTTCATTACTTATTTACTTTTAAATGTTTTTCAAATGATTTTCAAATGTTAATAATTTTTTTTTCTTCAGTTTATATTTCATTTTTCTGATTGGTACACCTTTTTTTAGCTAGTTATATTAATGCCTGTAAGCCAAAACATACAGACATTACAAAATGCATTTTAAAAAATGTCGAAGAACAGGTGAAGCCAAGATTACTTAATGGTATTCCTGAAATGGGTATACCTACTAATAACCCTTTTTTCGTTCAATCTATAGAGGTGAGTATGTGACGTATTTTATTACTATAATTTTTTTTCATCTAAGATACAGTACGTTAAGTTTTGGATTAAATATTGCAAACTACATAAAGCGCTAAAATCGGCAACATTGCCTCGTATAAGGTAATTGTAATTCACCGATCTACTATGACACCTTAGCCTTAGACTCCTAGACAGAAAACGAAAAAGCGAAAACCATTTAGTAACACATAACAAGCAAGGGATATGCATCTCCGTCCGTCGATTTTTGTTTTGCTTACTGGTTTATTTCTTATAACATAAACTTGATAAAATACACTGACCATTATAAGGTGGTGCATTTGAATCGGTTTTTAATAATGCGAACAATTTTTGTAGTATGCTTAAAATAAAAGCGCATTTCTTAAAAGATAAAACAAAAAAACTCTTATATACAAATAACAAAATAAGAAATAATTCTTTATGCTCTACAGAAATGATTCAAATATTTGACTTTCTACGGCTGAACATTATCCCAATCTGGCATAAAAACTTCTGCGGACAGATGTAAGAATTTCTGCTGTAACAGAATTGGAGACTTCGCTTACTCAGTTTTTTTCCAAATTTTTTGGCTTTAGCTTCAGGATTATCGTAGATGAGGTTTTTTAAATGTCCCCAAAAAAGTCCATGGGTGTAAGATCTGGATCGCGCAGGCCACTTAATATCACCTGTTTCACTGATAACTCGATTCGGGACAGTATTGTTTAAGTACTCCTAATTATTCGAGCGTTGTGAACTGAACTGCCATCTTGATGGAACCAAACATTCTCCAGATTTACATCAGGAAGATTTAGAATAGAAAGAAGAACATGATTTTATACCAAATCGAGGTATACAATTATTCAAGTTGCCCTCAATAAAAAATGGATCTATTATGTGGTCTACTAAAATGCCAGTCCAGACGTTTACTTTGAAGGACAGTGAGTTTGACACCCGACAACACTTCTGTGTTGGTTTTTCCCGCACCCAATACCTCGTAATGGAAGGATTGGGTCCTCTTACTAACAAAACAGAAGATTTGCCTTCCAGACAAACCAGTCATCAATAGCGACGTTTATATACGTTTTACTTTTAGGTAAGCTTTGGAAACACCCTTAAAACAAAAGTATCCAACATGAAGATATGGGGAATGGAAGAGATGATAATTGATAATCTAAAATTCGATTTAGACAATGTGTTGCTCGATATAAATATGACAATACCCAATATGCGTACACAATTTGACTACAACGTTGAAGGCAAAGTTCTAGTTCTAAACTTGGATTCAACGGGACCTGGACAAATAAATATAAGTAAGTTTTATGATATTAAATTGATTTGTACTAATTATAGTCACCTTATACATGGTGATACTTTTAATATAACTGCACTTTTGTGACAAAGTCCGTTATATCTGTTAGTATAACCTAGTAAAAAAGTTATTTGCAAAAATAGAAGGTAATTGTAAGCTTCACGCTTTATAATTAATTACAAATCTTCTTCTTCTTACGTGTGCCTATCCGTTCCGGATGTTGGCGATCAACATGGCTATCCTAACTTTGCTTGCTGCTATTCTATGAATAGTCCAGTTGTCGATGTATTAAACCACTTACTCAGGTTTTGAAGCCAAGATATTCTTCTTCTCCCTGGTCCTCTCTTTCCAAATACCTTGCCCTGAAGAATGAGTTGCAACAAGCAGTATCTCTGTTCATTCCTCATAACATGGCCAAGATATTTGCGCTCTTTGATTGTGTTAATATCTCCATTCTTGCCTATTCTACGTAGGACCTCAACATTAGTCACACGATTCCACCCATGAAATTCTTAAAATACGTCTGTAACACCACATCTCGAATGCCTCGAGTTTTCTTAAAGAAGCTTCGGAAAGTGTCCAGGCCTCTACTTCCGTATAATAACGTAGAAAATACATAACATCTAATGAGAGAGATTTTGGTAGTAAGTGGTAAATCTTGACTTCTGAAAAGAGACTTCATTCATTATGAACGCTGATCTCGCTTTTTCAATGCGTTGTTTTATTTCACTGGAGTGATCCCATTGGCTGTTAATGTTGGTACCAAGGTATGTGTAGCTGTCCACTCTGTCAATTGGATGTTGGTTAACCAAAAGCTGTGTATTTAATATTTCGAGCTTACTGACTACCATGTACTTTGTTTTCTTCGTATTAAGATCAAGTCCGTGTTCCTCTCTACTTATATCTGATATACGCGACATTATTCTTTGCAAATCGTCCAGACTATCTGCAAAAACTACTGCGTCTTCGGCATATCTAATGTTGTTTAGACGCATTCCGTTGACTAATACGCCTTCTTGTAGTTCTCCCAGCGCAATTACAAATTACAAATATAGAGGGTTTTTTATAACACTATACCAAATGAAACATTCTGCATTTTCTTTTAATTTAAAATCAGCTTCACTTCCTCGTTATTATCCGACAAGCGAGAGCTGGCGGGTGAGCTGCGCGAAAATAGAAAATTATTATTCTAAGAGAGATAGGAGAGGTACTTAATTGCGGCTGTCACAAACGCGTAGTTGCCTATCAAAAATTTAGTTGAGATCTAAAAATTACGTTAGTAGATACACGTTTTATCTTATCAATTATGTTGACAATTAATGCAAAAGGTTTGACCAATTTTTGAATTAAATTTATAAATAAATTAAATTTATAATTAAAATAAATGATAACTATAACTCGATTATAAAAGTTTTGAATTGATGATTTCCTTTATTCAAAACTACAAAATCAATCATTTACGTATTAAAGTGTTTAAAGTAATAACGTATTGACTCACTGGTAATCTAATGCACTGTTAAAGTGTAATGCACTTAAAATAAATTATTGAAATCTGAATTTATTTGAAAATGAGTATTATAATTACCAGTTAATTGAGCTACACTTTCTTGTATCTTTTTTAAATCAACTAAAACTTTATCTGCAGTAGCTTCTTCGGTTGTAAACTTAAAAACATTGAAAATTATATCTCGTGCTTGAGATCCCAAAGGTTTGCCCGTTAATACACTTGCCATTTAATAAATATAAATAATAGTTTATAATATAGGTCCACTCCAAATAAAAATGTAAATGCTTGACAACACTGTAAGAAATCTAGCACTAATCCTACGATGTGAACTCCTCGCCGACAGCAAGAGAAATGAGCAATCCCTTCCACTTTTCAATTTGTTCTACGCGCAACCCGCCAGCTCTCGCTTGTCGCATAATACAAGAATATAAAGTTATTTTGTGTTATAGAGAGTACTTAAAAAGTTGTAACAAATTTAAATAAAACTTATTTTACTCATTTAGTATACCGCTATGTTTATTACGAATTTTTATTTCAGCTAATCTCTTTTCAATAATCACAACCAATGGAACAAAGGAAGCAAAACATGGAAAATCATATTATGTTTTTAAAAATATTAACCTCGATGCAAAAGTTGGTAAAATGAGCGTCCAATTAGACAACTTATTTCCTGGTAATCCAGAAATTACAGAAAATGCCAACAAGCTTTTTAATGATAATCAGCTTGTGTTAATCGAGGAATTTGCTCCGATTATTTATAATGTGGTGAAGAACGTATTACTCAATGGACTGAATAATATTTTCGCAAGATTTCCCACAGACGTCCTATTTCCCGATGACTAAATATGTTTTAATATTCGTAAATATAAACTGTTATTAATTTCTTAAAAGTATTTTTTTTAGATTAGAAGTTATTAGATTAAAAAGATTAATAAGAAGAATAAAAAAATTAGATTGCAAAATTATTATGCAAAATCTCTTTAATTAATATTAATGTAATTTGGGGGACTTTTTAACTATGTTATAAAGATTTTCTAGACGAATTATGAAATCCACTAGTGTCATCTAAATGGTTAAAAACCAATGAATAATGAAAGTCTTGTTTCCCCCTCTTTTTATATTAATTGCTATTGTAGCAACGGTATTAATTTTAAACATTTTTAACCAGTCGTATTTCATACAAAATGAACTGTTTTATAGTTATTTAACTAAAGCCGGATTTATAAACGGACATAAACATAATTTTAGTCTTTAATCATAATCTTATTATATAAGCATAATGTTGAAAGTTAATAAATAAATGTACCCATTTAAAAGCATTCCTAATACATAAAACATAAATTTAGTCCTTAAAACGTGACCTTCAAAGTTGGTAACTTTCAACATTTATGAATTAAGTATTAAACATTATGGAATTGTTGGAATATGCGCATGTGTAATCCAACATAAAAAATTAAAGAACTGTTCCTCATCCCATTCCTTATCACGCTTTCTATTTATGGGTCTTACACTATACCTTCTTACTCTTCTTTGCTTGTTAAGAACTCTGGCAGATATAGTCGCTACAATTGTTAAATAAAGTGGGACTGCTGCCATGGCCAAAGCAACTTTTCTATTAATCTTCATATTTATTTAAAATTATTTCACTTTTCCATGAATCTAAAGACCAGAAAAAATTCTTCAAGATCTATAAAAATTTGGTTAGGTTTGTATTTTCTGAAGTAGTTTTTAAATATTATGGTTAGGTATTATGTCTAGTTATAAACCAATCTTAAATCTTGTGAACTATGATTGTGGTTAAAGTTATGTTTATGACTTATGATTATGTACTATGTCCGTTTATAAACCTGGCTTAACAGGTGTATTAATAAGGGCCAATAACAATTGAAATATTTTAAGGCGTGAGCGGAAGCGAGCGCGTTAATGTTCGAGATTGTTAATCGCCATTTTAATTCACGACTCGTTACAAAACTGTTCCGTCGATCGTACTTTTCAGAAATAAAGATGTCTTAGTTTAAATTTTTATTTACTTAACGATTAACAACAATTTTTTCAGCTTTCATTAACTTTATTCAAAGTTTAATTTTCTTAGTCGTAGTTTTGTTATTGTAAACATTATATTCGAAATAGTACAATTACTGAAATGTAAGGAAGGTATTGATAAATGATTATCTGCTGTAATAGCATTTTGACAAATTTATATTTAAGTCTTCTTGGACCTTTGTAAATTCTGTGATAGAAGAAGAAGCGATGTGTGCTGAAGGAAGTACTTTGACAAGGTTTAGTGGTATTTTGATCCCAAGAGTTTTTTCAGCCGTCTCAAGTTTATTCTGCATGGAATTATCTATATAAACCTTCTGCTATAGCAGTCGATTTCCAGCCCCCTTGTCTTTTAATATCTGAAAAGTCTGCACCACTTCACACAGTCTGCACACGTCACACAGAGGGAGAGGAACGTCTAAAACAATGCCCAGTGTAGAGATGCGGGTGCTCTAATTTTAAGAATTTAGTAATAACGGAAGAAATTTTGGAAAACGTATTTATCCCAACTGGCTGTGTGGAACAATTTGTTATTTTTATAAAAATTGAAAAGTCGTTTATATGGTTGTTTGTGTGTGTGTGATGGTCTTAAAAGAATATAGTTTTGATCGCATTGAGAATGGTATTTGCTTCATTATCTACTATGGTAAATATTCTATTTGTGTGAGTTTTTGATACTTTTATTGTGACAAGAAACTTTGACCCGAAGACTTGAATGTTATTTGTATTGTCCTTACTCGACGCAATGAGTACAAAAATTGTAACTCATATGCGTCCAAAACTGGAATATAAATATTCCGAGCCCCGCTCTGAATGGCTTGATTAAGCTTGGGTATACAGTTTACTTTAATTTCTATCGACACATTTAACTTTATAATTTCAAAATATTTTTAACAGACATGAGATTTGATACTGGGTTTATAAATTTGCTCAATGAAGCTAAAAAAAATAGCTCAAAAAATGGATGAAGGAATTTCATTTTCTGCAGTTTCTACAGTTCGACCAAGAAGAAAAAAGTCTTTTTATGAATACGAACATAAAGATGGGCCATTAAATCTCCATAATTACATTTTAAAGTAAATTTGTATTTTTGTATTCTTGATATTGTCGTCTCAAAATAAGATGAGAGATTTCAAGATTTAGAAACACATGTTGAATCTTTTGGTTTTTTAAATAAATTTGAGTTTCTTTTTAAAGAGGAAATAATGAAATATTGTACCAATTTAGAAACTAAACCAACTGACCCGAAAACAAACAAATTAATTATAAATGCAACAGATCTTTACAATGAGATTGATATATTGTCCTATTTACATTACTAATAAAATATATGTCAACCTAAAAATAATCAAAAAGTACTTAAGATCTACCATGGCCAACCAGGCTTACCAATTTAAGCTATAATAAGTATCGAGGAAGATATTGTTTTAATTTAGATGTGACTGACCTAGTTAGGGAATTTGCACTTAAAAAGGCATAAAGAATCGCTTTTAGCATTAAGACGTGTATACCTACCTTATTTTTCGTAAAATAACATGTAGATTTTTGTATTTTGGTTATACCAACAAATTACACAAAAGAAGGTTATACACATGGAGGGGATCCAGGAGATAATTCTACATAGAAGATCAGATAGACTATATTCTGGTAAACAAGAGATTAAAGAATGGCGTCACCAGAGTAACGACATATCCTGGTGCAGGTATCGTTTCAGACCATAACCCTGTAATAACTGACATCAAAGTGAAGCTCAAAAAAGTCCAAGAAAGCCCCAAAACACCAAAATTAAATATCTCAATATCCAACAAAACGTTAATAGAAAATGACTTAAACAATGAGCTAAAGAAATCAATAAATGAAAACAGCACAGAAATATGGAACTCATTTAAAGATCTTACCTTGAAGTAATAGAAAAATATTCAACAACGTTACACAGGCACAAAAAACAACAATGGATGACTGATGAAATCCTGGAATTAATGGAACAGAGAAGGCAACTGAAAGGTAACAAGACAGAATATAAGGAAAAACAGAAACTAATTAAATAAAAAATAAAGGTGGCTAAAGAAAAATGGATGGAGGATAAATGCAAGGAATTAGAAAAGTTGAATGAAAAACATGATACGTTTAATATGTTTAAAAAAGTTAGAGAAGTAGCTGGTCTTTATCATAAGAAAACTCCACATACTATAACCGATTCGTCGGGAAAAATGATAATACCTGATAATACCATAACCTGGTGTAATTATATAAGTGAACTGTATAATGATGATAGACCCGAAGAACCGGAGACTTTAGTTGAAGGTGAAGGACCAGAAATACTAAAATCAGAAATACTGCAAGCTATAAAGTTAGCAAAGAACAAGAAAGCCGTTTGCCCTGATAACATACCGACAGAGATGTTAAAGCTTATAAATGAGGAGAACATTGGAATACTGGTCAAACTTTTCAATGATGTTTATTCGACTGGTGATATCCCTGAAGATTGGTTAAAGTCCGAATTCATATTTAAATATTTCATATTTTGGCATATTTGTATAAAAGTTTGCATAAAGTGCATAAAAGTTCAGATTTTTATACTGTATTTGAAAATTTTTAAACATACTAATTTATTTCAATTCTTGTATAAAATTGTGTAGTCATTTTAATCAAGAAATGATCTAAGTACGTAATCTCTACAGGTACAAAACATTTACAATTTCAAAGAAGATCAATTTAAGTAGCCCTCAACATTCTTAGAAAGTCTCGGTCACTGAGGCATTCAGTTATTGGATAATCGCTAAGGGTTCGCTCATTTGCATTTTATGATCTAATCCCCAAATCTATCTACAATTTATTGTATCTTAACAGCAGGTAAACGGCTAATAGTTTTGTTCCTAATTTAGGGATTTTCCAAAATCTCCCAGTTTATTGAATTAGGTACCTAAACATTTCTAATTTGATGCTCAGATTTGTAAATCATTTTTGTTTTGATATTCAAAGCGTAAACACTCGTTGTGCGTAACAAAAAGGAAGATTGTGATTTTATAATGCCTAAAACAACCAGTGCTTCAACTTGGATTAAACCTTATAAAGAGCTGTCTATGGATATGGGAAAAATCTACTGTTCAGTCTGTGGCAAAATTGTAAGTATCTAATATTTTCTATTAAATATCTAATATTTCATACATACAGGGTGTTTCCAAATGACACTTACAACGTTTGACTGTAGATACTTCTCGAAAAATTGAACAAAACGATATAGTTAATGAGGGGTCAAACTTATTTACTTTTCGAGATACGGGGTGTTAAAATTTAAAAAAATTAAATTCTTTTAGTTAATAACAACAATAACTTTAAAACCAATAAACGTATTTACTTGAAATTTAGTACTCGTAGGTTGTTTTTAAATGAAAAATAGCTTCCTTTAGTGAGAAAAAATTGTCCATGGTACAATACGATGGTGTGTATTTAGAAAAATTTTTCACCTTTACTTTTTTTTATGAACTCAGCTATTCTAAAACACAATTATTTTTATTGTAATTGAATTAACAAAAAAAAACTTTTGTTGAATTTTAAAATAAGTTATATGATGTACTAATGGTTAGTAACAAAAACTAATTTGTGGATTAATACTGCATTTAAAACACTTAGCGAGTGTTTTTTTTTCCAAACCAGTTATTTGATTAACCAAAAACACCTTGTATATTTTTATATTTTAAAGGTTGGGTTAAAATAAAGGTTTTTATTTTTATTTATAGATAGCATGTGAGAAGAAATTTCAGATAGACCAACATGTGAGAACTGCTTCACACATTGCAAAAAAGGAAAAAATAGGAGGAAAACATCAAACTTCAATGGCTAAATGTTTCCAATCTACTTCAAAAAAATTAGATGAGCAAGAAACTTTTAATGAAGACTTGTGTCGCGCATTAGTGTCTGCAAACATACCGCTTTCAAAATTAGCAAATGTAAATTTTAGTTCGTTTCTAAAAAAATATTGCAAACTTAATGTTCCAAGTGATCGGTCTCTAAGAAGAAATAATGTGAACGGGCTATACTCGTCGGTGTTAATTAATATTAAGGAAGAAATTGCAGATAATTATTTTTACATATCTGTAGACGAAACCACTGATTCCTCAGGAAAGTATATTGCTCATTTATTGATTGGTGTTCTTAAAGAAGATACCTTACCAAAATCTCATCTTATTTCATGCCAGCAACTTGAGAAAACAAATGCTTTAACAATTTCGCGTTTTATACAAGAAACATTAGCAACTTTTTTTCTTCCGACAACTATTCCTTCTAATAAATTACTGCTTATTTTATCGGATGCTGCTCCTTATATGGTGAAAGCAGGACAAAATTTAAAAATATTTTTCCCAATTTAATACATGTTACTTGTGTAGCGCATGGATTAAACAGAGTTGCAGAGGAAATACGAAAAAAGTTTCCTCTTGTAAATACCATGATATCCAGTGTCAAAAAAGTATTTCTTAAATCTCCTATAAGAATTCAACTTTATAAAGAAATGCTACCTAACATTCCTCTTCCACCACAACCTATTTTAACGCGATGGGGAACATGGTTAGAAGCACTAATTTTTATGCAGATCATTTTGTTAAAATAAAGAACATAATTGATACGTTAACAGATGAAAGTTCCCAATCTCTTTTGGATTCTAAACAAACTTTTCAGAGTAACTTGCTTCAACAAGAACTTTCATTTATAAAATCAAATTTTAGTTTTGTTCAAAAAACAATTACTCAGTTAGAATCACCAAAACTGTCATTGTTCGAAAGTACAGCATTAATAAAAGAATTTGCGTCATGTTGTCGGAACGTTAGAGGTAATATTGGAAAAGATATTTTAAAAAAATTTGAAGCTACTATGGAAAAAAATAAAGGTTACCATATTCTTCTGAAGTAGTCAGTGTTCTAGCTGGAAATATTTCGGAAACAATTAATTTAGAACCAAATGTTTTGGTTAGTTTGAAAAATGCTCCCGTTACATCAGTTGATGTTGAACGAAGTTTTTCCATATATAAATATATGTACTCAGACAGAAGCCACAAGTTTTTGTTAGAAAATTTTGAACACCACTTGGTAATTTATTATTACCATAATTCTAAATAAGTTTATTCATACGTAAAAATGATGTAGTTACTTAAAATAAATGTAAATCTTAATGAATAGTAGGAAATATTTAGTTATGTACACTTTTTTTTTAAATAAAATTGTTACTATTTTACGATTTTTTTATTTATTTGTATGCATATTTTGTAAAATATTTGCATATTTTCGGGTGAACACGTGCATATTTATGCGCATATTTTCTACATTTTTATTTGCATATTTGCCGAAGTCTAATAATCAGTTACAGTATAAGTGATTTTGTAACAAATAGATACCTCTTCAGCATCTCTAGATTTTGGGAATGAATTGATCATGCGTCCCTAGTGTTAATATTCTACTTTTCTGTTAGGCGAATATAATATAATTACTTTTCCAAACACTTATGTTTTTTATAAAATTGATGTTACAACTTTTATTTCAGATAATGATTATCTAACATATGTTTTATTTCACAAAAACTTTTTCCCTTTGTCTCTGGTAGTATAAAGTACAAAGTAATACACCCTAGAAGACACAAAAAACTAAACAACCACATGCAAATGTGAACTCCAAATGTTTTTGTCGCCAAAGGGTAGCAAAATAACACAAGAGAAACTGCTAAGGCGTCTAGAACCAAGGTTAGACCTACACCTTTGGCTCTCAAATCACTTGGAAAAAGTTCGCCCATAATAGCAATAGGTACAGCGCCGAGACCAATTCCGTAGCAGATTATAAACACTATTACACAAACAACAGGAAACCAACCAATACTAGTGATTATATTTGCGTTTATACTCTTTAAGTAAAAATAGAGACCCAAGAGGAACATAGGAATTGTGCAAGTAAAGGAAGATGTTAGGACAAGGATTCTTCTACCACACTTTTCTATAAGATAAGCTGCAACACAATAAGTTGCCATTTGGAAAACACCCACTATTGCGCCGACAGCATTTCCTGACAAATCTGAACCCGCTTGATTAAATATACTAGCCATAAAATACAATATTACGAAAATTCCTGAACATTGCTGTGTAGTACAGATGAAAAGGGCAATAAAAAGTCCTCGACGTGGTGCAGTTGTTAGAAAAATGTCTTTTAAACTTTTTGCATTATGCTCTTGTATTGCAGCATCAATCATTGTATATTCAATCTCTAGGTCTGTAGTGGTCTTTGTTGGTCTTAGTTTTTCTAAAACATTCAATGCTTCCAGTTTTTTTCCTTGAATGGCTAATGATACCGGAGAATCCTGAATAAATATTTGTACACATACATGCAATATGCATGGCATTGCACATAATAGAAAATACGTTTTTAATTCGAAGAAATAACCATAAAAATATGCCAAAAACATTCCGGTTTGCATAGTAAATCCCATTATACAACCCATTCGCCCTCTATTGTGATTGTCTGATATTTCGCTGTTATAAATAGGCACGATGCATAAGGATGCTCCTTCGCAAATACCACAGATGGATATACAAATATAGTAAATCGTCATATGGTTTGCAAAAGCAGTTACTGTTAAGCTTATGGTGTAAGTAACCGCTACCAACAGCATAGACTTCTTTCTTCCTATTACATCGGCTAATCTTGTCATAACTATTATACCGATAGGCATACACAACTGGCTTAATGACGTAATGACAGATACTTGAAGTGTTGTAATTGGCGCAGGTAATGGATTGATCGTAGTGTCCGGTGACATGAGCTGAGGAAGTCCTGAAGACGACCATATGTGGAAACATCCAATGGTTAAATAAAGCAAATCACCTAAAAATATATTTTTAATTAAAAATTATTTATCCATTTTTAGAAAATTTAAACTACATTCATGGACAAAAATATCAAATATTTTGAAATTTTTGATTTTTTGTTTGAAAATAAATTCTGGTCAATCAAGTTATTTATTGTGAAAAAGAGTTTATTTTAACAATGTTTATTGAACAATTTTAAATTTTTATGAGGAGAAAATTGTGAAAAAAAAATGCTTAATGCTAGGTAAATAGAGTTTTTACTCTAAACTTAAATGCTAACTTAAATTGCTTAAACAAGTCTTTTAACTGAAACAAGTGCATGTTCAGTAACGATATTCCTCCTCTTCTTCTTAACGTGCCCTATCAAGTCCCCTTGACGTTGGCGATTAACATGGCGAAACTGTCTCTGTCTCGAGCTATTCTAAATAGTTGCTCAGCTTTCTTTATTCCTGTCCACTCCCTGATATTCTTCAACCAAGAGGCCTGCTTTCTACCAATTCCTCTGCGTCCTTCGATTTTACCCATCATAATAAGTTGAAGAATATTATATCGGTCTCCCCTTACTACGTGTCCAAAATAGGCCATCTTTCTACATTTGATGTTATCAAGCAGCTCGCGAGCAGCATTTGCTCTCTCAAGGACTGCCACATTTGTCAGCATAGCCGTCCATGGAATTTTTAGTATACGTCTGTGCAGCCACATTTCAAAGGCCTCCAGACGATTAATGGTGGATATTTTTAATGTCCATGCTTCGACACCGTATAAGAGGACTGACCAAATGTAGCATTTAACCATGCGCTTTCGAAGTTGAAGTTGCAAGTTATCATTACAGAAGAATGACCTCATTTTTAAAAATGTCGTGCGGGCTATCTCGATTCTACATTTTATCTCTTGATCTGGATCTAGTTGTTCAGTAATATGGCAACCAAGATATTTAAAACTGGACACTCTTTGAATTATATGACCATCAACATATAATCGTGCATCTTGATGTGCTAAACGGCTAAACACCATGTGTTTTGTTTTTGCACAGTTTATGTTTAGGCCAAACTCTCTTCCCACTGTATCAATGGCATTTAAAAGGCATTGTAATCCATTCATGTCATCACTTAAAATAACTGTATCGTCTGCATATCTGATTGTATTTATCAGAATTCCATTAACTTTCACGCCCCATTCCAAATTATGCAGCGCTTCTTTAAATATTCTATCTGAATATAAATTAAATAACAGTGGGGATAGTATACAACCCTGTCTGACACCTCTTTGTATTTTACATATTTCTGTTGATTTTCCGTTTATGCAAGCTGTCGCTGTTTGACGCCAGTATAACTTTTCTATGAATCGTATGTCTTGACTATCAACTCCTTTATCTTTTAATATTGTAATTAATTTGTGATGCTGTACTCGATCAAAGGCCTTTTCATAGTCAATAAATACAGCAAAGACGTCTTTCCTTTGATCTCGACATTTCTGCAGTAATACATTTAGTGCAAAGAGGGCGTCCCGAGTTCCCAGTCCATTTCTGAAGCCAAATTGTGTTTCATCCTGATCTTCTTCACATTTATCTCTGATTCTACTGTGGATGATGCGTAGAAATATTTTCAAAGTGTGGCTCATAAGGCTTATCATTCTATAATCGCTACAGTTTTTCGGACGTTGTTTTTTTGGTAGTGTTATGAATTCGGACTTTAACCAATCTTCAGGGATATCACCAGTCGAATAAACATCATTGAAAAGTTTGACCAGTATTCCAATGTTCTCCTCATTTATAAGCTTTAACATCTCTGTCGGTATGTTATCAGGGCCAACGGCTTTCTTGTTCTTTGCTAACTTTATAGCATGCAGTATTTCTGATTTTAGTATTTCTGGTCCTTCACCTTCAACTAAAGTCTCCGGTTCTTCGGGTCTATCATCATTATACAGTTCACTTATATAATTACACCAGGTTGTTCGAATTTCATGTTCGTCTATTATCATTTTTCCCGACGAATCGGTTATAGTATGTGGAGTTTTCTTATGATAAAGACCAGCTACTTCTCTAACTTTTTTAAACATATTAAACGTATCATGTTTTTCATTCAACTTTTCTAATTCCTTGCATTTATCCTCCATCCATTTTTCTTTAGCCACCTTTATTTTTTGTTTAATTAGTTTCTGTTTTTCCTTATATTCTGTCTTGTTACCTTTCAGTTTCCTTCTCTGCTCCATTAATTCCAGGATTTCATCAGTCATCCATTGTTGTTTTTTGTGCCTGTGTAACGTTGTTGAATATTTTTCTATTACTTTCAAGGTAAGATCTTTAAATGTGTTCCATATTTCTGTGTTGTTTTCATTTATTGATTTCTTTAGCTCATTGTTTAAGTCATTTTCTATTAACGTTTTGTTGGATATTGAGATATTTAATTTTGGTGTTTTGGGGCTTTCTTGGACTTTTTTGAGCTTCACTTTGATGTCAGTTATTACAGGGTTATGGTCTGAACCGATATCTGCACCAGGATATGTCGTTACTCTGGTGACGCCATTCTTAAATCTCTTGTTTACCAGAATATAGTCTATCTGATTTCTAATCATATGTAGTGAATTATCTCCTGGTCCCCTCCATGTGTATAACCTTCTTTTGTGTAATTTGAACCATGTATTTGCGATTATCATGTCATGTTCTTGACAGAACTGGTATAATCTATCGCCTCTTTCATTGCTCTCCCCTAGTCCATATTCACCTACCAGGTCAGATCTTCGGCCTTGGCCAATTTTTGCGTTAAAATCTCCAATAATATATGTGACTTCGTTACTTTTTAGATTTTTAAGTGTCTGTTTTAATTGGCTATAGAATGATTCGACATCATTGTCATATTTCTTTTCTGCAGTAGGGGCATATATCTGGATAACATTGACATTAAATGGTTTGCTATTTAATTGGAGTATTGCTAGTCTGTCGTTCACTGGTATAAAATTTTTCACATATTTCTTAAATTTAGACGTTATAAATATGCCAACTCCATTCCTATGATGTGTGTCATCTTCTACACTTCCAGAATAGTATAGTGTGCTTCTGTGTATCCGCTTATACGTATTTCACCCTAAAAGGGATCTTCAGAGCGACTATTTACAGACGCTCTGTAAAATCAATCAAAAAAATCAATTCCACTTGATAGTTTAAAATATAATCGCCTAATGGAATTGCAAGAATGCGTACCTTCTATTTACCATTCCTTCTATAAATCTTTAAAAAATAAATAAAAACAACAAAAAATAAAGTTGTTGAAAACAATTTTTATGTTTTGAAGATGATTAACTGCTTTTTAATTTAGGTTTTATATTATTTTTATAATGTTAACTTCTGATTATAAGGTTCATTTACTAATAAAATCATATCAAAAAGGTGGTTGTCCTGTTTTTTTTTATTAATTTAGTACCATAGAACAAACATGGTTGTAGTCCTAAATTATTTATTATTTCAATACAAAACAACTTAACGGCGATTAACGTATAATAAACTACAAAGCCACTGGATTTACCACTCTATTTAAAAACATAAAGATGCAACATTATTTGATGATTTTTAAGGCATTTAAACTATGGTGTACAAATTAACAGCACTAATTTTGATCAACTGCAAAACAAATACCCTTTCAATTCTAACGACAGATATACTAATATGATATTATATATATATATATATATATATATATTATATATATATATTATATAATATATATAGGTACATATATATATATATATATATATATATATATATATTCTTATATATATATATATAGTATATACATATGTATACTTATATTATATATATATATATATATATATATATATATATATATGAAGTAAAATGGCCAAATACTAGACTGCAATTCATTTCGTTGAACTTCCACAAGAGCTCCTGACGATGGGTTGAATAACCCGAAACACGTGTCGGGCTATGGTGGAGTTCCGATCGAAATGAATGCAATCTTTTACTTTCATTTAATACGTCTTTCTCTACGTAAAGAGTAAAAAAAGATGGTAATTTTCAAAGGTGATGGTAGATGCATGTCGAAGTAAAAGTGTACTTCTAGCGTCGTTGAAAGCCTCTTTCAAGAGGCTTTGAATTTGCGGTTCACCTAAATTTGCTATCAGAGAGGTCTCTCGACTTCTCGTTATTTCATATATATTTAATATATAGATAAATATATATATATATATATATATATATATATGTATATATATATATAATATATATATATATATATATATTATATATATATATATATTTATTTAGCTGAAATTGAATCAGAATTGCGAACACAAATGAACATTCCATTGAACATTCATTTCTGTTCGCAATTCTGATTCAATTTCAGCTCTCGGTCAACACCATCTTCATACAGGTCATAAAATTGATTTTGAAAACTTCAGAACCATAGCCCCCATCCGCTTCTATAAACCAAGAATTATCCGAGAAGCCATAGAAATAGAAAAAAGGCCAAATTGTCTTAATAAAAGAGATGACGCCATACGGTTACCTTCTACATGGAGACCTCTCATAAAGAAAATATCGCCCCCTCCATCCTCGAATCAAAATTCTACAGTCAGAAATGTTCGCACAACTTTCGCGCCAACCCCCACCATAACCCCCACCTAGGCCACGCCATCATCGACAGTGTAAATAAACCGTCTCCTGTTCCAGCCGTAGTAGTGACAGTGCAGTGATTAGTGAACAGTGTAGTAGTGTCTGGGTGTTCGGAGACTGAGACCTCGGAAGCCCTGAGGAAGGCATCAGAGAGGATGCCGAAAGCTCGACAAAATGGATATCGACGCGGTTTGATATTAATTTTTAGTAATA